TGAAAACTACAGCAGCTGAAGGAACGAGCAAAGGCTGCTCCCGTACGCTATTATCTACCTTCATGATGCCTTCTAACTTGTGTTTTATTTTATTTCAGGCTCCGCGGCAGAAGCCTCAGCCTACTACCCATCATACCCCATCTATTACTGGTGCAGAAGCTCAGTCAAGCTCTGTGCCGTGTGCTCAGAATGCCTCTGCCGCTGTCCCAAAGGCTGTGGTCTATACGCTGACTGTAGGAAATTTTCCATCTGTAAGAGCTTACATATCATAATAGCACCTATAAGCTAATCAAAAATTCAGCCTAAGCCTCCTAAGAAGAAGAACAAGACGTAGACCACTGGGGCAAAGACAGGCAGAACTCATGTAAGTAGACAGCGGCGTCAGCTTAAAACAAGCACGCAACTGAATGTCCACCATGCAGATACAGGCAACTCGATGCTCAAATTGTTTAAACCAAGGTAGGCCTCTTTTGCTCTATGATCTCAACTATTCACTCTTACGAGATTTATAACAGAATAGTCGTTGAACTGGAGCTTTGACGTGCTCATTGCTCAACTCGTGTTTCGCAGCTAGTTGTCCTGCCTCGGTCAGACCCACTTGAGGGGAGGGGATTCATTGTACTCTAATGCATTACTGAATTCTATGTCAATTCTACCTCCCCCAATATATGCAATGAGTATCAGTTTGTGCCTCAACGGGTACTTGTGTCCAACAAACCCTCGCAAAGTGAAACACATTGGCTGTGACATATGTGATGTGTGTCACAAAGTGCGCAAGCGGAGGGACACATAGCTCTGGCTTAAACTACCATGTCCTACAATCATTGCTCTCCATCTCAACATACCTTATTCCATGCTTGTCTCCGACATCCTATTTTACTGTTGACTCAAATTTGCATGTGGTCGCAATGCCTTTGTTGGTTCAAGATATTCAATTCTGCCGCGATTGAATGTGTAGTGATCCCTAAAGGTGATTGTATGCGCATGGATGCATGCCAAAAAGCATATCCAAGGATCACTGATAGCTGGTATGGACTTTCGGCAGCCAGTGCACCCTTCATGCATGCAGAAGCAAAGTTGAGTACATACTCTTCTGCTACTTCTTTGTGTATGCGCTATGTTCAAGCCGAAAGCACCTTGTTATCCAGATTGAGAGACAGACAGTTTGTCACAAATGAGAACACAATGCTGTAGAAGGTCAGCACAGCCCCCATCAAGCCCACTAAGCTCTCACTTTGCGCAGGACAGGTTTGGAGCCATGAACAGCAAGCGGTTTATGCGGTCAAGGTTCGTGGTAGAGACACAGCAATCACTCGCCTCCTTGCCTGCCCACCTCTATGTACACCCTACCTGCCTTCACCCTCCTGAACATGCTGCAGTTCAATCATGCTCGCCAAACCCATGTTCAACCTCATGAAGTTTCATCAGATTGTGCGTCTTCTGTTCCCTTACACCGCTGGAAAGCCCTGACAATGCTGATAGCTTGCTGCTTGTCTATGCTAGTGCAAATCATAAAAGACGTGCGCACTGTATTTGAATTCTGGGTGCAGTGGTGCATGCTGCGCAAGGCCGTCAACACAGAGTTACAAGGTTGACATCGATGCCACCAAAGCAATCTTTCCAGAGCTCACCTCCATGCATGTGTCTCTCGATCCCCTCTCCCCCTCCTCAGATATGATTACGCTGACATATTGTGGTGTTGCCGAACGTGAATATCAACATTTGCTCTCTTCAAGACCAGCCGCAAATTCAAGTCCTGAGCCCTTGCTGGCACAAACCCCCTCTCTATGCAGGCATGTGCCTGCCTAACCATCATCGAGTGGGTACCAATGACCATACGCTGCTAAGCGCATGTATGCTGATGCTCGAGGTAGCCTGTTGTCACCATTCATGGACTGATCATCTACCTGCATTTTTTTTGGCCTCCTTTTAGGCCTGTTTGTCGAGGCCGACGTGAAAGTGTCTGGCAAGGTTGTCGGTAAGCTGCCACCACCCATTTCCTCATTCGTCCTTGACGCGCCACTCCACCAGTCTTTAAACAAGGCGTACAAGGTAAATGATCCCATAGAACTACTTCGAAAGAGTGTTCCGCTGACCGCTCCCAGTATCTAGTTTGTCGCATCGTCGCGCCTGAAGGACTCGCTGCTGATGATCATCTGCCAGTACCGTCATCTGGGCATGCGTGTGCTCGTCTCGACGCAGGAGCCAACGGTTGTGCCGGCCAAGCTGCTCGCGCTCTGCTCGTTCATCGTTGCGCACCGCTTTCAGTCACCCGGCTAGCTGCATGCGCTGATGCGACACGTCATGGTGCCCAAGCTCAGCCTCAATGCGCTCTTCGCCAAGGTGCGTGCCTGCTGCTTTGTTCTTTCCCCTTTGTTTCTGGTGGAAGAGTTTAGTGGATGGTGACTGTTGAAGCACCTAGTGGCTCTGGCTCGGCGTTCTGCCCGGCATGGACTTAAGGTGGACATCTTAGATTAGGCGCTGCTAATATGTAGATAGTGATTGGACAATCATATGTAGTGCTCC